ACTGTGCGCTTTATGCTTTATGTTAAAATGGGCAGTTAAAACCATTAAACCTGCCTTAAGTGCTGTCGTGTTGACAAATGTCTCCTCCAATGAACTTTTGTTGGGACGCCTTCTAAAGTGGACAACAAGCTTTTAGCAAAACTGTCTTTTGACCATAGTGTCTTGAGATTTCCAAACTTTACAGTCTTGCTTACACTAGATTACACCAGATTTAAAAAGTGAAGTTTAAGGTTTGACCTGAAGCGGGTAAATGTCATGACTTGTCCTGCAAACACACCCTGGGCAGGAAGTGGGCACCTTTAGGGCTTCAGCTCTGACCCCTCTGCCTTATCAAGTGTTGGCCTGGATGACAGTGATGAGCCTGTGATGACAGAGGAGTGCCTGCAGCTAGCATTTAAATCCCCGACAACAGGGAGGTGTGTCTGGTGTGGGGCACTGATCTCTGACCCTGCCTCATCTTCTACCCCTCGGCTGGCTCACCACAGATCCCCGGGGGACATCCTGTGCGTATGTCAATCTCCATTCACTCACAGGACAACCCCCCCCCAGGTAATGAAGGTTTGTTTTACCTGGGCTGCATAATCATATGAACATTTGATCAGAACCATCTGCGAGTGGACACCCCTCAGATTTCCCAAATTTAGTGTCAAATTTCCCTGAAGATGTCTCCTTATGGAAAAACTAAACTAAACTAAACAAAAAAACAGCAACGAGGCTACTCACAGATTTCCCCCACTCACCTCTGTAAGCGCTGTGCTCTGATCCAGGCTCACAGTTACATTCCCTTGGGGAAGCGGATTGCTCCGCAGCACCGTGATGTGCAAGGTAAGGAGAAGAAGTCCCAGGAGCAAGAGCAGTTCCGCCGCCAGTCGCACCATCCTCTTGACGCGACCGCTCTTTGGAGCCCGCGGTGTGGTCGGAGCTCCGACTCCGCCTCCTCCCGGTGCAGAGACTCCAATCTCCGGATCCGCCGGGGACGAGGAGCCGCAACACCACTTCGAAGCCACTTCGGGAATCACAATTGCAAAAAAATAAAAATAAAAAAATAACAAAGAATGAAGGGAAACGGAGCGGAGGTGGGGCAGCAAAAATAGTTGAGAGAGAGAGAGAAAGAGTTTTTAGTTTGGATCCAGTGTTTTTTCTCTGCAGATGTTTGTATTGTCCTGCGTGAAGGTTGTCCCTCTCACTGAAGGTTCACAAAGTTTGATCTGAAGACAAACGCGGTGAGCCAACGCTGATGTGCCAATCAGTGCGGTGCAGCGAATCCTGCAGGGCCGATCCAGCGTGCAGCATTAACGCTTTCCTTTCTCCGAGCTCGGGAAACTTGCAGCCCCGTGTCTCCCCCACACGCTGAGCCTCATGCTTCAGTTTCCCCAACTTCCACCTTAGCCGCTTTACGCATTTCTCGTCATGTGCGCGCTCCGCGTTAACCGGCGCATTCTCCGGTGAGCCCTAACTTTGGAGGGAATAAAGCAAAGTGCAGGTAGTTTAAAAAGTAGCTCTTCACTGTTCAAACTTCTCGACGGAGTTGTGTCTGCTTCATAAACAGCGCGCATCCATCCTGCGGGCCCCGCAGAAACGGAAGACTCAGGCTCGCGTGCGTCTTAACGAGTCGTAGGCCGCTGGTGGAGAGAAACCGAATCACACTACCGACACACGCTGTACTTGTTGTGCGCTCTTGAGGTGGTTTTATACCAAACGCCCCCGTGCAGGCGCCCTCCCCCCGGTTAACTCTTTCGTCCCTCTGAACCAGTCCTCGCAAAACTGAAATCCGGTGGAGCTTTTCACGTCCACAGCATTCCTGAGAAAGGTGAAAACTGAAACACCCAGAAAGTATATTGGTACCCTCTGCTTTCCGCTGCAGGCGATTTCCAAAAGTGCGCTCTGGTCACCTGATCAAAATATTTAAAACAGAAGTAAATTTTATAAGTTACATTTTCTTAAAGGAGCATGTTTGATATGTGAGATTAATTAATATGACATCATTTCTTATCAAATCAGACAAGCAGGAAACCCCCCACTATGTTTGGACAATGGAGACTTTAAGTATCCACGGTGGTCCTGGGAGGCTCTGTGGTATACGCAAGCGCCTCGCAGCGCAGAGGTAGACACCCAAAGCGGCTCTGCAGGAGGTCTGCACATGTTGGCGTGTGTGCAGCAACAGCAGCAGCAGCAGCCACGTCTCAGATTGTGGAGAAGGTGTTGTAACATCTCACTTAAGCAGGACAAATGGTACATAATGTGATTAGCTGTTGTGAGACTATTTATTGTCCGCTTCAAAGGACAGGCCGCTGTGTCAAATTATGCACCAAGCAGGGCCGCTCGCTGCTTTAACGTGGGTGACAGCTCTGCTTGATCCACTTGGCCCGGAAAAGACCACGCTTTCCGTGTCATCTATCACCTGACGACGACTAACAAGATCCTATTACCTAGCGGTCATAGATGATTTGTAAGCGCCGTAACAGCTAAAATAAGAATCATCCTGACATTGCTTTTAGTGGCACAATTCAACACGCAGGAGAAACACGCTTTATTTCTGTGCATGCGTAATCTGGGATCTTGGTGTAGGATAGCGATGAGTTAGAAAAATCCACAGGTCTGGTGAACTGAAGCCCTGAGTTTACCTCTACTGGTGTAGCTGCAGAGTCTCCTGATGCCCGTTTGCACCAGAACGCATCGTGGTCATTCCAAAGAAATCTAATGACCAACGTTAGGAAATAAAGAGCAGGTGCTTGAAGAGTTCAACAACTTAAATATTTAATAGAGTACCCCTGACATCATGTATAGAACCCCATGAATATCTGATGAGGCTGAGTTGGGTTTAAAACACACAATAAATGCTTTCAGCTGTCTTCTGCATTATTGTCCCAACCTTGACCTTTTTCATTATTTTCCCTTATATCAGTAGTTCCCAGCCCAGCTCTACTCCAGGCTTCAGTCTTTCTTAGCCCAGGAGAAGCATAGCTGTCCAAAGCGTGCAAGTTCTGTCCTGTTTCACTTCAGATCTCTCGCTCTCTTTTTTAGACTAGAAAAATCTCTGTCTAAATGGAAAACAGAGAGCGGTAAGAATGGCTTGCCTGCTTTGGACACAGTGGTGGACATCAAAGGCGTAGCAGAGGATCCCTCTTCAGAATAGCAGCTACATGCCATTCCAATAAGTGCAGTGTATTTGGATCTGCAGTTCAAAAGAGGCTGGTGCAGGCAGGCAGGCAGGTCTCTGGGGCCTTGCCACCAGTAGTCTGGCTGCACAGATGTTTTGAATGCCAGCGCAGACCATTTGCCACTTTTGCTGAAGCTGAAGGCAGTTACAAGTGACTGGAAAGAAGCTCGGAAAGACTCGCGCTCCCCACCTTGCCTGGCAGTCAGTGTGTATTACTGAACTCTTGTCAGTTTGCCTCAGGAGCCTGTTTGAACTTGACATTTTTTGGAGTAGTTTTTTTTTTTAAAGTCCATATGTCAGTGACAGCTGTAGCTTTAAAAGTAGGTCGATTGCCAGCATGATTGCTTTTTTATCTAAACAGTCTTTTAAAGATTAGGACACATTTAACTAAAAATGACAGTTTTGTTGCTCATAGCTGTAGGATTTTACAAAAATAAATAAATAAATAAAATAAATTATGCAATCTGCTTCAAGTAAAGTAGAACTTTTCTTTTTTCATGTTTTAGGGCCATGAGTCCGTTGAAATGTATCCTGCAGCAGTCACTGTCATTCAGTTTCTTAACATGTTAGTGTTGCATAATGAATAATGCAACAAAAAGATGGAAAAAAAAAGCCACAGATAGGCTGTCCTCTCCCAGCTTAATTTTAAGCTCAAAAGTCATCGTCAAATATCAGATTTTTGGAGCAAACCTTTCTCCAGCTGTGCAGCTATGCAAAAATATTGCCGGTAAGTCTCGGCACGTTAGAGTTTGCCTTTCTGCATAATAACACTGGAGCTTAGTATTTGAAGACTCCATGTCTGTGACGCACCGCGTTAGGGCAGAGGATGAATTCAAGCTTTTCAGCTTCTATCTCCACACGTCTCCCTCCTGCTGCAAACCCACGCTGAATTTTTAACACTGCTCACGTTTAGAGTTAAGGTGAATGCAAACAAAAATGAATAACAGGCATCCGTTAGACGTTAGAGCACCCCGCTGGGGTGAGGCCACCTTTCCCCATCTCCTCCAGATCTTTATGAAACAGCACATTGGTATGACATCACAGATTTGCGGATTAAAGAAACTGTTTTCCATTGTTGCTGGCTATAGGAGCCAGATGTGAGATATTCACTTACAGCACAAAGCGATCAAGTACAGAGAACAGATTTCAAGAGTTAGCTGTTTTTTTTTTGGAAACTTTTATCGATGTTTGTACTTCATTGTGTTTCCCAAGAACTGCATATTGCTTTTTTTTAATCTTCTCTTGTAAAATGTTATCACTATGCTGTTTATGGCGAGGCAAACACAAACATAGAAACATCCCGAGGAAAAACAAGTGCAGACAAGACCAAATCCGACACACTGTGAACACACATTCATCATCTATCTATAATCCTTCCTGTGTTAATCAAATGATTACCACATACCACGAGAATTTAGAGTTCAGAGCTAATTGCTGGGTAAGGTTTCTGTTGGCTCAGGTGCCGCATGCTCGGCATGCTTACCTTCACGACTGTAACGCAGTGTTGTGCGTGAAAGGGAACAGCAGGTCTTTAAAACATCAACAATTAAGCTGTTAAGACGTGGTGAATAAGAGCAGTCTCGCCACAAAACAAGCCATAACACCTTTTTTATTCTGCACGCGGGCTGTTGAGATTTAACTGCATGTCAAAGAAGTAATTGCTGCATGATCTATTATTTACAGAAAGGCTATCATTTACTGTGGAGATGAAAGTGGTGTTTCACTGGGGACGTTTTTATAAAAACAGTTCACCGTGGAACACAAAATCTTCCTTTTGCTTGATCTGTTCAGCCACAAGTAGTGTAAACATTCATGCATCAGGATATAAGTTACAAAGGGAAGACTCTTTGGAAAAAAACAAAAGAAAACATGCCATCTGGAAGGTGAATTTATTATTTGGAAGGCATTCGTGCACAGCATTTGGGAACAATGGGTATAAAAATCCTCAAAATTTAGTGAAACAGCAGTTTGGAGATTTGTTAGTTTCTTAAAGTATAAGTAAATAGGATTGTGTATTACTATCTAACTATTACTGCCATTGGCATCTCTAAAAAACTTCAAATATTAATTTAAGAGAAGCAAAAAAGTGCTTCCATAAAAACCCGTCAACGTCTAAATATAGACATAAGTAATTAGAAAAAATCTGCAAGAAAGTGAGCCCTCTTTTAATCTTTAAAAATGCCCTCAGATGTCAGTGCAGAGGAGGTTAACATCGAAAATGAACAAAACAACATATGATTTTCTTCCACGAATAAATAACTCAAGAATCTTGAGATTTACACCAATCCAAAAGACGCTCGTGCATTCATTTCACATATACATATATTCATAAAGAAACGGCATTTCAAGAGTTCAAAACATTTGTCTTTTAAAAAAGAACGAATACACAGTCCAACATTATGATTTAACACACATAAAAAACAAAAAAAACCCAAACAGCTGCCAAATATTTGGCTCTTCTCCTGCTGTCTGATGAATTCACTGTGTGCTTATGATTGCTCAGTTTAGACACTGTGAAGTCAAAGGGTCAAAGATCATATCAGCTGTCCAGCTCGAAGTCTGTCTCATCGCACAGGTCGGGCTGAGGGGAATATTTCCGCCGCGAGAACTTCAGGCAGAGAAGATCTCCCACCTCATTCATACAATCGAGCACCTGAGGACAATGGAAAGTCTCAGAGCATGCATGTTTCATATATATCCAAAGTATCAAAGTGGGAAACGCTCGTGTGTGTTTGTACCTGGTTCAGCATATCCCGGGTGTGTGCAGCAGATACACAGAAGCGAGCTCGGGCCTCTGTGATCGGCGTTGCTGGAAAGCCGACCACAACTACTCCGATTTTTCTCGCCAGCATTTCTCGCGCAAAAGCCCTGATCAGCATAAAAAAAGAGAAACGGGTTAAACACGAAGCACACAAATGACTTTAGCAACAGGAGGGCTTTTTTTCTACTTCTACTTCTTCTTTTTTTGAGTCCTCCTTTTCCGACTGAATGCAGTCAGTTATAGTGTTGTCACATTATATTTGTTACAGCACCTACATAACACGGCAGTGTAACTCATATTTACGAGTTCTGAGTTCACCGAAATGAGCATGCAAGTCACATTACGATGGGAAATGTTTTGGTGCTATGCCTCATCAAATGTAAAATCCATAGGAACGCTGTTCCTTCTAGCCTTTCCAAATGTTTAAATATGCAATCGGGACGTGTGGTTTGCGAGGCTTGTGATAATTTCTGCAAAGTACCATAAATTAAAAAGGGTGCAGTAATTGTTTTGATGACCTCAGAGCAAATCTGTTCATTTTAACAAAGCCAACCTGCTCTGGCGCACTTTACCGTGGACAGTTTGAAGAGGTTAAAACCTTCAAACGAGTTCTGAAAGTGGTTTGATGAATCTGACCCGGTATATTTTATATAAACATGGTGATGAGTATCTACAGAAATATGTTCAATGCTAATAAACGGACTTCAGTGTTGTTATAGGAATAAATATTATGGCTCTGGAAAAAAAATCATTTATTTTTTTTGAAACAAGGTTTGGGGACCTGTGAAATTTCAACTTTATTACAATAAACACTGATACTCACGATAGCAGAGCGATCTAAAATCACAGGCTATATGATGATGCCATCTGATTAAGGCAATAACTGAGCAGAATTTGTATTTGTGCAGATATTAATGTTGACTGTCATATAATCAAGGACACTTGATTACATACCTGAGTGGGAGTCTAGGGTTATACCAAATCAGAACCCGATGTTGCCTCTTAAGAGGTTAAAGACATCATAACACTGCACAAATGATTGATGGAAACTCTGGAGACACAGCTGATCAGAAGACGCAAGTGATGCTATACTGAAGCTAAGAACAAGGAACATCCTGATCATCTGGCTCTGTAAAAGTGTTTTCATGAGTGTTTCTGTGTGCTTACACCACTTTGGCTGGCATGTAGAGCAGCACTGGAACCACAGGTGAGTCATTATTGCCGTAGATGATGAAGCCCATCTCCTTCAGTCTGGATCTGAAGTATTTGGTGTTCTCTGCCAGTTGGCGAATCCGTCTCAATCCTCCAATTAAAACAAGGACACCAGCAGATGTACATGAGTAAAGCACCTTTTTTCACTGAATTTCCCCTCTATATTTGTACCGCGCCCTGTAGGGAAGGACATTAACTGTCAGTAGTAGCTAATGTACTGTGAGTCCTGTGCAGTGCCATCTCATTCTGAGTCCTGCACCTCCATCTGGGCCATTCCAGCCTCCTCTATGAAGTTGTTCATGATTACAGCTCAGCTGCAGCAGCAGATGGTTCAGTTTTGTCCGACTGACAGCATGGTATATGCGCTTGCATGTTGCCAGAGTGGGGGTCTCGCAAATTGGATATGATTGATTTTGCGTGGAATTAGTGACTGTGGGCTGCCACGTGAATGTAGCCGTGACATATAGTGAACACGAATAATGCTTAAGCATCACACGCATTTCCTATAAATTCACTGCACTAGAAGATAAATCACAGGCAGCAAAGGCGGCTTGTTCTGCTGACCCTCTGTGTTCCCGAACAATGCGAATCACTGGGGAGCCCGCTTGCTCTGTAGCTGCTGCAGAGTTTGGCATGGCCGGCCTTGGAACACAGCTCTGTTTCCCTCTGATTACCTGGGAACAGATTGGCAGTTCTTTCAAAGGGACGTAAGAGAGCACTTTAAATCCCCTTATCTCAGAAGAGGGAGAAGGAGAGAGAGGGAGAGAAAAGGGGGGGGGGGGCATAACATTCGGACATCTGCCAAAAAAGCCCAGGCCCCATTTTGTAAATTGTTTCTCTCTGCTAAGATAGAGGGCACGAAGGTCAAAAACCTGCTGCCAGACACAGGAATCGTACGAGCAGGCGAGAACGTGTGGACGTTGCTGTCTGTCGGACTTGTGTGAAATTCAACATCAAAGGGAAAAGATGAAGAAGACAGAGGAGGACTTGGAGGAAGAGGAATAAAGACTTATGACAGACATTCAAGGGCTCTGTTAGGTTTCTTGTCACAGTGAGATTTTAAAGTTGTTGTTTCTTTTTTTTTCTATGGACACTGGGACTGATGTTTAGAAAAACGGCCTTCCCTCTCATCTATAAGACAGGTCAAGGCAATTTTTTTTCCCACAACAGATATTTCACTGGACTACGTCAGATACAAAGCACGGCTGCTTCAGAGTCAGATGAAAAAGTTTCTCATCTCAGCAAGAAACTGCAGCATCTACCTCGACCGCAACGCAGCAGGGTCTAGTCCTTGAAGTGATGACAGAAGCGTTTCATTTTGTTTGTCACGGCTGCCTAGCTTTGCCTCATGGCGCATGCTGTAAATACTGTAAATTTGGTATAACTCTAATGTGTAATCTGTCATTACTTACTAGGCACTAGATGCACTAATGCTACTCCCGTTAGCACTCCTTCCATTACCAGGAGCACAGCTACAATAACTCAGAAAGAATTGCCCCGGTGGTATCGCGTCTGGTCTGGTAACGACCGCTTCCCCTGCCCTCGTGTCTGATGCCATTAGAGCAGCAACTTTTCAGAGCAGCAGCGTTCTCTACAACACACACATGAAAATGATTTCCTCCACGATAGGGTCACGTGTGCTCAGGGACTGCACGTCTCCCTGCTCCTTACCGCTGCAGACCCCTGTAATTGCTTCCACATTTTCTGACCAGCTGTTTGCATTTCCCTGCAGGTCTCACTGCTAATGTTAACATCGGTGGTGTCCTCTGGATTCCGTTTGCTGTTGTTTCCATAAAAATTATATAAAGGTGTAGAAATTTTTTTAAACCAGACATGCAAAGAACGTGTGACGGCTGCTATACTTACCCTCTGTGCTTCCATCTTTTCCCATGATGCACTTCATTGCACGTATTATCTGCTCAGTGGCAGGAGGGGACATGGCCGTGGCGTATACTGCACTGTGAGAATGTGTCCGCAGGTAGTCCACCAGTTCCTGCAACATGGGATACAGAGTCAAACGCTGAAAAAGCACAACTGCACAACTATTCACAGAAAACAAAGCAACAGTTCTGAACCTCTTGTGTGACCCTGCAGTATATTCAAACACCACTAGGGAGAGCTCATGTATAATCAACACCTGAGAAGCAATTAAAATACTTCAAGTCGTTTCTCTGTCACTGTGACTGTCTTGGCACTGACTGTAAAATAGTCCTGGATCCTTTCCTGCTCTCCACTCTGGGGTGGGGGAAGCCAACACATGAATATGAGAAAGAACCAAAGTCAAAATGAGCCAGAATGAGGTCTGTCGTGCTCATTATTCCTAAATGTCAGCAGGAGATTAATTCTGCTAGTGGCTGACAAGAGAAGAGGAGGATTTCAGGAAACCGATTTGGTCACGGGTCCCTAGAGCGTATGTGTGTAAGCGGCCTGAGGTTGGGGAGCTGTGACGGGCTGCTGCTCGGTGGCAAGCCGGGGTTGCGGGGTGATGACACGTAAGCCGGAGATGCTGTCTGGCCACCGCTTCCACTCACCACCATCTGTCCCTGCTGGGCGGTGGCTGCGGCTTCCTCAAGCGCACGAGGGGGAAAGGATTTCAGGGGAAGTGCTTGAATGTAGGATAAGAACCCTGAAACAACCTGACATCTGTTTTCGTTTAAGGCGGGAGATTTTCACAGCTTTGTGGTCCTGCAGGATTACGGTGCAACCAAGATAAACCGTTTAAGAGGACACGTCCAAAATTCATCTCATGCTTGGGGCACAGACTGACAGCTCAGAGGGTTTCCTCAGCCGCACGGTGGCCACAGCACCGATGTGGGAATACGTGTTCACAAAGCCCTGGAGTAGAGGCGCTTCCAGAACAGCAAGCCCACTTGAACTTCAACAGATTTATTTAATAACCTAATTTCAATCTCATCCACATTTTCAGAGATGGCCTAATGAATAAAGACTCCTAAATATAAGTTTGCAGTGACATAGAAATAACTCTGGGTGTATTTATTGGGGTATTTATTTTTGGTACCCTCATAAAATAGCTATAACATGACTGTTTTCCAGAGCACATCTGCACAGTCTTTTGTTGGTCAACCCAAATCCAGTTAATGTAGGACTTGGGGTATTTCACCACAACAACAAATACGTCAAATCTAAAGGTTCTCTCTCTTTTCCTGCCTTTTTTCCTTTAGGACTTTACTGCAGCCAGCTGTCACACCAGGAAGAGTGTTCATACTTCAAACATTATCATGCTTGTTAAAAGTCATCCTGTTAAATCTGGAGCGCAGTTCTGATGCCTGCCACAAGAAGGGGCTGGCCCTCTGCCAGCTTTACCTTCTTATTATGGCAGAGCAGGGCCGGGGGAAACTGAAGGGGAAAGAAGGAAGGGTCCCTCTCTGAATACCTAATTCAAACAACATGGTCGTTTCTGTTGTTGCTTTCTAATCAACTGCCACAAAACTGGTGTGGTTATGTACCAAAGTGTACTATTTAATGGAGTAAAAAAAAAGAAAAGGAAAAAAAAGTGCCCAGAGACGCAGCCTGGGGAACATTTGTGGGACATGTGAGGGCTAAGCGAGAGGGAGTGCGTATAATTGACTTCCATACATTTTTAATAAACAGCCGTGGCGCAGAATATAACATGCATCATAAAAATTTACATTTCCAAATCTAAATATTTGAAAATACTCTTGTGTGATGTTTAAACCTGCTCCGGAGCCAGAAGGGTTAATTGTGTTACACAGTGCTTGTCAGGTTATTTAAACCATGTCAGGATTTAAAAAGCCGGCTCATTAATTTGATTTTCTGCGATGCTAATTCACCCAAGGCTGTTGGGATTGTTTCAGTGCGATTAATCCAATCAGCTTATTTTCTTAAAACATTCTGTCACGACCCTATTTTGTCCAAGGAGTGTTCTTTCCATTTTTAATTCTTCTGTAAAGCAACAGGTCTGCAGCAGTTCTTCCCTTACACAAGATTGCTATGAACTGGCGATGTGGAGGGAAATGAAAACAGCGATGATGGATCGTATTCTTTTGAGAAAGCCGGGGAGGCTGATAAATGTAACAACATCACTGCCGTGTTGACGATAGAGTCTTATCTGTCCAGTACCCCTAAAAAGGTCAGAAAAGTGTCAAGTCTGGAGTGTCCTGGAAAGCTTATATGCATTGGGAAGCAGCACTGAGGACCATGACTGCTTACTTGGTCCCTTGTATGTAACATAAATACACGAATACTGAGAAGCACTGATCAAATGAGAGTAAACTTGCAGTAACCTTTTTCCCTGCGATATAGCCTCCAGACGCCCCGAAGCTCTTTGTAAAAGTCCCCATCATCACGTCCACATCAGCCGGGTTCACATTAAACAGCTCGGTCACACCCCTCCCTGTTTGGCCCACTGCTCCGATGCTGTGGGCTTCATCCAGGTACAGGTACGCTTTATATTTCTTCTTCAGAGCGATGACTTCAGGCAGTAGCACCACTGAACCCTCCATGCTATTGGCAGAGAATCGCACACACACACAAAGCATACGTGTAAAAAGGGATCAACATGGACACACACTTTTAAGAAATTACAAACCAAACTGTTAAAGTGATTAACTTTAAAAGGAAAGAGTCTGACCCTGAACTAACCATATCCACAGCAGAGCATCTCTGCTTCTACAAATGCATATTATATAATCTGACACGCCACAGTCTTCCAAGAATCTTTCCTGCTGGCCTCTTTCACTTTACTCCCACCTTTCTTCCATTTCTTCCTCCCCTCAGATGCAAACCTTTTAAGGCTACAAATAGACAGCATGAGTGATTATACGGCTGGGGACTGGAGCAATCCCAGACCTGCTCGGGTTGCTATGGCTGAGAACGTCTGCAGCCCAAATGACATAAGACAGGGTTTCACCAGGACCGATGTGGACATCAAAGGCAGACTCGGGCTATAGCTAAAGCATGCGTACTCTTTATCCAAGCCTTTTGATGTTGCTGGGAGGTGATAGACGGAGCATTAGTTCTTTCTGTGCTTTGCTGAAAGGCGCCATTTCATTCTCATGTCTTAGACATTACTGTCTGACAAAGACAGTCTGAGGATGTGCAATTAGGTTGTCTTTCAAAGTACCAGGATTGTTGTGGGACTAATTACATTATATTAAGACCAGCTGATGGCCACGTTTAAGGCTTTCTTCTTTTTTTGATGAAAAAAAATTGACATGAAACAAGTAATTTTCACAGCATCATATTTTACTTTAGGAGGACTAAAATGCAAGTGCAGCTGAGAGCAAAAAGAGGGAAGAAAGGAGAACAGAAAATGGCCATGATAAACAGTTGGAGCTGGGGGTGTAGCCAAGTCAATCTCTATGGCTCCATTTGGCCTTGATTTGGAGCTAATGAGCAGATGGAGAGGGTCACTAAGACTCAGGATAGCTCACTGGCAGGAGAGGCAGACAATACCTTTCTCCTTTCTACGGTAATCAAATGGTACCCGACCACATGCACATGCACACACACACCCATGCACTGCCATACGCTTGCATACACACAGACAATCTATTATTCAAGAGCGCAGAAAAGGAAGCGATTGAAAAAGAGACCATAACAGGGACGGCTAAGCACAGGATCACCTCAGGTTATAAATTAAAATTTCTACTCAAATCGGGCTGTGCAAAACCCTCCGATAGACCACCCGGAAGCTCATAGTTAGAAAGACTGATACAAGAGACCCAAGACATGTGTCTGTGAAAGTAGCTATGTTATAATGTGTGTGGGGTGTAATGATGGCTGACCTGTAGATGCCTTCCACCACGATGAGAATCTTTTTCCAGGGCCTGTGGGTCCGAGGCTGTCCTGAGCAAACTGCTTCTTTTAGCATCTTCTCCAGACTCTGCATGTCTGACATAGGTGCACACAAAACATCACGTAAGGGAGAATAAAAGAAAGAGACACAGCAAAAGAAGACAGACCCTAACAATAAAAAAAAGTATGCCGGCAATCCTAGTTTGGATATGTGTTATGACACAGCATACAGGATAGCACTCCAGTGCTATAGCTTGTGCGGAACACCGAACATCAACGCAAACCCGAGAGTGGGAAGAAATCATTTCCACTGGGGCAGATAGTTCACGGATTTCACAAGACACTACTTTATTTGCCAAAGACACCTTTCACAAACAACACACCGGAAATACCCTTGCACTGTGACGCTTACAAACACCTGAGATATCTAACTAGGTTAAAAATGTGGATAAGCCTGTGCGATCTGCATATCTGCATTGTTTTTGTTACAAAAAATTTACATGGCAAAAACATTTCCCGGTGACTAAAACTCAGTTATGACAATACTAATGATCATTTACTGCATACCAGCAGATGGCAGTATTAAACAGCTCCAGTTGTTATGAAAGCGTGTTATTCAAAGTATGACTGCAATCCAACCATTTCCTGCTGAGGAGTGAGGAAAGCTGTCGTGGCTAATAATCTGTCATAGATGATTGATGCTCCTACTTCAAAACAAAAACAGGTTCACTTAAGAGGCAACAGATGCTCCGCTGCTAAAATTCCTTCCCGAGGCTTAGCAGAACAATGTCTCGGCTGAGGAAAGCAGAAATGAAAAAAAGGAATTCACTGTGGCTTTCTGTCTGCACAGTCAAGAGTGAGCAAAAGATTATTTCACAGTGAAACACTGATATAAGATAAGCCACAGCGTGATATGAGATACTGTATGACTGAGGATGGTTATCTTCAGCTTCGATCCATAAAATGATTCCACGATATCTTATCTGTGCTCTCACCTTCGGGGTACACACCACGCTACTGGCTTAATAAATAAAACATAAATACATTTGATTATTCGAAAGAGTAGGACTACTGTCTGTGCATTATAACTAAACAACGTGGTAATTCTCACGCACATGTATGACAAATCTGCTGGACAAACCAGTTTGTCTGCTCCATAGTATGAGTTCCATCTCTGCTAAAAAATAATCCTTGAGAGATTTTAGAGAGTGCTTGCACCAATAAGTATCACTACAAAAAAATACAAGCATTGGAGTTGTTCATAAATCTTTTGTTGTGGCATAACCCTCTATGCAAATATTAGAAATAAAAGAGTTTCTGAGTGCCTAGCGCAGGAGGATTAGTGGCAAGGAGGGGTCAGCAGCTCAGGTGCCTGAGGGCTCTTTGCCTTTAGACAGGCCTCTGGGATCTGCTTTGAGGACCCATAACTGACTCTGCTTGTACCTGTCAGGAAAAATTTGCTGCCAGAGGACTGGCTCATTTGTGCTGTCTGCTGAAAGGACAGGGATGTATCTAATGCGAGCAATGGATGTTATACCATCCACGCTTGATATTTTTCCTCTTGACAATATACCAGAGAACAAAAAGTTTAAGTAAAGATGATGTTTTGTTTAAAAAAAAAAACCTCAACCCCCCCCAACCAACTTCACTATTGCTTCACGGCTGCTGCTGCTGCTGCTGAATAAAACACAAGCATGATTTCAAACCAAACCTATTGCATTAAACACAGAATGTAGGTCTTTCCTAAGGTAAATCCTGTACCACACAAAAGAACAGGAACCTGCTTCTCACAGCAGCACCAGTATACAATTAGGTGAAGAAAACAACCGATACTGTGAGCAGAAGTGGCTGCAAACAGTAACTGAAACTTTCTCAAGAGTCAGTTTGATGACAAAAAGGCACAGAAGGCGTGGTGGTTAAACGTAAGAATAATAATAATAAAAAAAAGGTGTTGTTTTGTACTATGATGCATGGACTATTTATGTACTAGGTGATCGCACTCACTGTTGTGTTTGAACACTCGGATGGTTGCTCCTGACAGTCTGGCTCCCAAGATGAGAGAAGTGTGATTGAGCTCATCGCTTAGTATCAAACAACCCTGGAGAACAGCAAAGAGAAAAGACTTTATTTAAATTTCACAAGGTATGCTTTGTGCTTTTGGGGTAATAGTCAATTGTTTTGCTACTGCAATGCTGAATCAAAAATTTCTAATCTAATGCTCAAAATGCCTCTGCAAACACATTAAATGGGGTATATGACATACATTTTTCATTACAGATAAAAAGGTAAAACTTGATCTGTTGATCTTTTCTTTCTAACTGAAGAATGTGTGGCTAAATAAAGGTAGTTCACACCTCTTCACCTGCCCCTTAATCCAGGCCTCAATCATAATCAGGTCTGGTTCTCTGTGCAAAATAAGTTGTATGTACTGCATGTTAGCAGTTTTTTACTTCTTTGATGTCTGAAGTTCTGACCCACAGACGCATTGCAATTTTCATAACCGACAGCACAGTACTCCATGTTCCTTAAAAAAAATCAGTATGCAAATTAATTCAGTTGTTCCACTGAAAACCTCTCTGGTGCATTAGCATATATATACGGCACAAGCTCTAAGCATTTGACTTCATTAGTCTGAATGAGTCTTGTAGAGGCTATGTTGACACTGTCTCAGTGACAGATCTGCTTGGTTTGGCCTCGGGTCCAGCCAGCCTGCTCCCTGGTCTACCAGCAGCTGTCACTCTAATGTTGGTCTGCCTGCACAGCAAGGCCTGTCCTGGCACAGCCTGTCCCTGTAGGATAGAGCTGGCAGTGAGGGTTGACCTCCAGCCTCTGCAGGGTTACTGCGGGGGGCTGCAGCCTAAGGGGCTGCTACACCTCTTGAGCTGCATAAACGACCCTGTTCTCATCACTTAAACAGTCAACCTCCTCTTCCTCCTGTCCAGTCCAATCACAGATATTCATGCTGTGTGTTGCCCCTGGTAACCCGCAGGCCTCTGCATCAGCCACTCTGGTGCACCGAGAGGCCAGAGGATGGGTAATCCCACCCTTGAGGAGTGCTCTTAACAAAAACTGCCCTTCCATGTATATCTGACTGAAAGCAGCTATGCATGCCCAGATCCTCATCCTTCTGGCTACTGTTTTGTGTAATTATGATTTTAATTAGCAGCTGTGGGTCAGACTGTTTGCAGTTAAGTTTATTTGACTGTTCATTAATTGAGACAATACCACAGAAGAGAAAAAATCCAGACTGATATCTGTTGCATTGTAAAAATTACACTTGCAAAGATGTTCTGTATAATGCTGAGTGTATAAAATCTCACATACCCTGCCCACAAGTGCTGGAATATTCATTGAGTTGGTGGCGAAACCCATCCCATAAGTCATAGCGGACTCGACTCCAAGGAAATTGGCCACAAGTTGTTCTAGCTCTTCATGGATACTCAGGTTGCCTATATGATAGAAATCAGAAAAAGATGACTCACCCCGACAACATCACTGTACCTGTTGGCACATCTGGTAATCCTTTAGTCTCTAGGCTTTGCCGGTCTTTGTCACCCAATCACAAGGTTTGTCAGAGATGAATGTCTCCTGATAAAAAAGTAAGAGACCCAGAAGCAAACGCCTGGATCAGCATCAGCGGCTCTTGCTGTCTGGGGATCTGAGGAGATTTATAAAGATCCAAGATGGGGTAAATTTGTAATTTAGTTCAACTGCCGTATTTCATCCCAGGTAATATTAAGGGAGGTCTAGCGAGGACTGAAATGGTTCTGTTGTACATTTTAGGACTGAGCCAGCTCAGGTGGTGATAACCCTATGTGACAGGTGGAGACCAGAATTCATTTGGAAAATTGATCAGATTGCAATCTGTCACCTGATGTGGCATTTTTTCAATTTTGTACAATAAAGTGGAATTTTCAGGTACCTGCCCTTGTGCTTATCTGATAAACAGAAGAATTGCTGTTATAATTGTGAGCTATGGGGAGAGAGGTGGGCAATAAAAGGTGCACGTACACTGTATTTTATCTCTGCAGGGACGATGTTGTATTCTGTACGGCACAAAAACATTACAACATTACAGTGCATCTGTGTTTACTGTAATACTACATTGTAGTTACCAGGTATTGCACACTGAATTAAAGCTACTTTGTAAAGCAACTTTCTAATGAGTGCTTATATAATACAATATATCACTACTGCATTAACATTTAAAAAACGGGGCATTAATTGCACACACGTGGGACACTAATCAATAACAGTCAGTAACCACAGAGAGCGAGCTTCAAACAGCCAGAATGGTTCAGGAAGGACTGGAGAAATGGTTATTGAGTTATGTGTATAAAAAAAACATAACGCAGAGAAGCAGTTCTGTCTTTATGGCGATTCCCATTCACTGCTTTCCATCAGGCCTTACGCCAAAATCGATTCATACATTTCCTCGACCGCTCAGGCTCACAGGCCCTGCCGGCATGTGCAGCGTCTTCTTCTTCTTCTTCTTCTTTTTAAAATCAGGCTGCATTGACATTTGCTCTCTTAATAGAACATTTTACTGAGCTGTGGCTTTTTAAGCGTGCCATGCCTTCTTATTGATATGTTAACCTCAGAAGGCCACTCTAGGTCCCGATACTCTACAGATAAGACAGTCAGGACGGAGCCTGATCACTTTGCTTAAAATAAAACCTACACCTTTTAAAAATTGGTCACTGTTCCTCTGAGTTACCATGGTCACCTTTGTGCTATCAAGGCTGGTTGATGAGAAGGACAGCCACAGTGAAGACTGTGCATGCAAATCTGATAGTTCTCATAGTTAAATCTGTTCCTTTTATTGGGAATTATATGACCGAGGAATTTTTAAGGACAAGAAAAGAGACAGAATAACAAAGGTTAATCATTTCTGACACAAACCTTGAGTCAGCGAACCATTATGAAGTTAGTGTAGCATGTTTTAATATATAAAAAGGCACAACAGCCCTATTGCACTAGTATACTAATACCAGAATTTTACTACCTTGTGTTTGATAGCTGTACCCAGTATATTTTTATGCATCTGAATGTTTGACATTATTATCTATTAATGATTACAGGAAAAGCAGTGCCAATAAGCTACCCATTAAGGTAACTCTATGAATGTTTGACATGGGTGTTTATTCACAGGGTGTGCTTTCAGTGCACTTTGTGTGTAGTTCAAAATGCCTTATTGATAATAAAAAAAAGAAAAACACTCCCTGTGTGGGCTCGAAACATATTGTGAGTCATTTTTATTTAGAGGTTGACCTAAGTGTTTAACTGCATTTTCTAAGATGATTTAATATTGGAAAAGGTGAGAGGCGAGATGAGATGAAATGAAATTAATGATGTCAATGACTGACAAGAGTGAAATAGAAAAAAAAAGAATTACATGTCTAAATGTTTTTTTTAATTACATTTTTTGTTTTTTCTTTAATTACATTTTTTGTATTTTTTCTAAATTGCTGACAATTCAGTCAAAAGCAATGCTGACAATTTGACTTTGAAGATTTTCCACATGTCAACAGTAAAAGCTGCTGTGTGTGCATCACTAGTGCAACAGAGACGCTGGGATCTTTAATAATTTATGCACAATAATGTCTCATGGGAAGAATGCTTGTTATTCCTTAAGCTTCCCGGTGAGCCAGCTAAAACACGCATTAGAAACCCAGGCTAAAACAGTTGCATTTTGAAAGGGAAATAAACATATAAATAAATCACATAGATGAATAATAGATGGTGTGAAGTGTGCATGTGCACACTCCACACCATCCATGTGTGTGTGTGTGTGTGGGGGGGGGCTTCAGCTTGTAGTCATACTTGCTCTGCCAAACATACGCATAACTAACAATCACATGTCCTTAAGTTCCTCTAATTTTCTCTCCTCTTGTCAAATAGCTGGTATCCTGCAACGCTCAGTGACTCCGCTTGATCTGAACTTGCATGTCAGCTAACCTACTGCTAGCCTGCTCTCTGCAGAAATAGCACATTGGTCTCTGAAGTGTCACAACGCAAACCTCGCTGAGAGGTTTGCTTTGAGAGAGAGAGAAACACTTTTCTGCGTCGCCTGTTCCTCAAGCTCTGTAAAGTGTATCAGCGGGGCTTTGGTGAAGAAACACCCAATTGATGGCCAATCATTCGATTTCCTCGCCGCACCATTGCAATTCTAGAATGTTACATCCACATAGACACTTAAATACCATCAAATCCAAAATGAAGTTCAAAGAACTTTCATCAGAAGCCACAGATCCCATTTACTTTCTGATCCTTGCTGTTATAACAGTTCCTTTGCATGCATGTACATATAGGTTTTTAATGTCAAGAGTGCTTTACAATGTTAGGTTCCACAAGACTGTAGCCCCCCAGCTTCTCACTTTCGACCGATATATAATGATCTCAACGTATGCCCAAATGCTATATAATTTAGCAAAAGGTGAATAATTCATACAACACTGACGCCACTGGCAGATATTTAAATGTGCACGCCGTATGCAGGAAACCTAAAAAATGACGGTGACAAGTTTCATTTTCAGTTTGATACTCTGACCATTCAGCGTCAACAAGGCCTGACAGATAACTTTTTTAAATAGAGGCACATATAAGATATGTAAGGATAATAAACACTACCATATAGCTGTTATGTTTTTGTTGTATGGTGGACTTTTTTCCTCCCTAAATCAAATCAACTGCCACAAACCAGCTCACAGAGAGAAGTGACACAAAGCAAAGTGGCAATAGTTTTTTTTTATCTTTACAACAGAATCTTAACCACAAACTCACCTATTTCCTGTCTTGTGCTGCAAACCCCAACCCCATACTGGCGCACTTTGTCTGCCACAGTTTTCAGGAAATCAGCATTGTTCTCAGCAAAGCCAAGGTAGTTGTACGAGCCCATATTGATAACATTGTGTATTGTCTTCCCGGTAAACCTGCAATTACACAAACATCAGGACTCAATTAGTTTGTCTGTTTTTCCCTGATTCATACACATGCCCAGTGAATTCATTACATATCAAATTTTTAAATAGCATATTCAATTAAATATGTTATTTGCTAATCAAAAACTCCACTTATTCTATTGATAGGAGTCTGCTAATGGGAAATAAAATTATAAAACATGTTTTGAAGACAACAGTGGCACTGACTGGATCCACAAGCAGTAGTAGTTATGTATTGTACAAAGAACATTTTAGTGTTAATTAAGAGATTATGCTTCACTATAAAATGTAGGATTGTGTGTGTACACTGCGAACTGTTGTAATCATTTCAGGCACTAAAGCAAGTTCAGGTAAACATCACACGAGTTCAAGAGTGCGCATCCCTATCAGAGGTAATCTGAATCTAAAACTATCTAAAAAGAATTTTTCCTTTTTGTCATCTGACCTACTTCTTCTCAAACTTCACGTACCTCTTTATACCGCTACGAAACCAATCAAAAGTATGCACCACAGTACCACGTCTCTACTTTTTCCAGTCACATTAAACATGTTTAAATATGTAATCCACGTTTACGTCACACTCATAATGTCATATTTCTACCCTGTGGCTCCCTTCATACTCTTTTCCATACTATATTTCTCCAACCCTGTTCTGTAGCAAAGAGGAATATCAACTATGACCCAGATTCTTTGGAGTGGCATATCTTTACTGATGACAAATAACCATGTTTCCACCTTTGCAAACAGCTTATAGAGGTTACCAAGCTAGTTAAATCTGGGATGTCCACTCTTTACCCTCAGAAGAGAGATGATTTTGTGCAAAAAGACTGTCTGGCGAGTTTTAAGCATTTTTAAGGTGAGCGGTATACACTGATAAGCCAAAACACTTTAAGCCAGCATGCTATTAGTCTTTTGTGTGCTGCCCAAAAAAGGTCCACCCCACTGAGCTATGGACTCTACGAGACCTTGGCGGATGCCCTGTGGTATCTGGAGCTAGGATGCACCACATCCTTTCAGATTTTTTCCAGCAAATTACCCAAAACCCAGTGGGGGTCAGCTCACAAGCCTTGTCATTTTGGAGGTGCTCCAACCCAGTCGACTGGCCATAACAATTTGGCCCTTACTAGACTAACTCAGTTCTTCACACCTGTCCATGTATCTCAGACCTCGACATGTGCTTTTAACAGGACACAGTGTTTTTCACCTTATCTGTGAGTGATCGTAATGACTCACCTCCTCCATGATACTGTTTATGCTATTTACAGTATGTCTATCATAGATCAATCGATTGCAGTACCTGAATGTCCAGTTGTAGTCATCAGATACCCTTTCCATCAGGTCAAAGACAGGTCCTGGTAGGCTGCATATGGGGCGGTTCCAGTTGTCTCGTACCCTCATGTACAGGTTTCGAGTGTAAAAGTTCTCAAAATCTTGATAAAGTGGGACAAAATCCTAAGGAGGAAAAGCATAAGCAGGATTCATTTAATAATGGGTACTAGATCTAGCATTTTTGTGTTTTTATGTTTTCATTCTAGTCCAAGAAATCTTCATTGATCCAATATCCAATGTTTGAGTATTTTCAAGATTATGTGAGACTTAGTCTTTACGGTATGCCCATATGCCATATCATAAAGTGACTCCTGTCCAAAAACAGGGCAGAACTCACTGGTTATTTCTTTTTAGGTTTCTGACCAAAGAAATAGTCACAGAAATAAGGACAGGGTACTGCTTCAGATTTTTCTTAAAGGCTTTTACCTTTTTAATAAGGCCTAGACAAAAACAAATCTGACAACAACAAACATCCTAACTCTAATTTCTGGATTTGGAAAATCAAATCTGTGGCAACACAAAGGCTACTATGGCAATGCCAAGGCCTTATCTAAAATCTGAAGCACAGTAACAAAGAAGGCGCTTGAATCCTCTGAGATTTAATTAGATCTTCAACAGATATTCTCTGCGGTGTCCTGCCTCACTCATGGCAACGTTATAGCGTAGAGGAACACAGAGGATGAAAACAGAGGGAGAGCTTAAGGAAAAAATTGACATAATTAGAAGAAAACAAAATGTACTGACACCACATGCATGTTACTCTACTCCAACTGTCTGCATGGGTATTTGTGTCTGCATTTTGTGTGAGACCCTACAATATGCCTGTTTGTACTATTTGCATGTGTAACCTACCTTCTGTTTCTCTCTTTCCTGGGCAATGTTGCACTTCTCCAAACCCACAGCTCTGAGGAAGTCTCTGAGGTAGCCAAACAGGGTGACAATGCCAAAGCCCAGGTATGTTAGCACGGCAACATACATGGGAGCCTGCTCAAAGGGCTCATGCTTGTGGCATCTGGAGGAAACGTCGGTCCCCTGGCCATTTTTCTATACAACAAAAAGCCCACATAAGCTGTCTTACATTCTACACAAGAACACAGACACACACTTTGAGTTCAAATAAAGGGTTTGTAGTTAACGTGCCAATTAACCTGAAAAATAGAGAGACTGTGGCCTAGTCTTCAGTAACATGTAGACTAGGCCTATTATTACAAAAGAAACCCTACAAGATCATCCACAGAAATGATAACTGGACAAAAATAAATTTTTCTGGAAATGTTGAATTTGTTATAATATTATATACTACATGTAATAGGTTTTTCCTTCACAAAAAGAGTTCTGGCAACTGACCGTCGAATCTATGCCTAAAACTGGAATCACAAGGATAAATATTGTGAATGTTTTGTTATGAAGAATACATTTTAAATAGATAATATTCAGTGTATACATTTTGGTTTAATAACTTTGGTCTAAGTACTGTTTACCAATTTAATGCTGCTTTACTCTGTGGACATGTTTGTCAGCAAAATCGTGAAAGAAGAAAGCAATGCCATACATACGTCATACCAGAGGTATTTAGTAGAAAATTTGATTATGCCTCATTACATATATTTGCATATTAGTGAGATATGTGCATATTGAAGTACTCGTGCTGCCTTTGTGCAGGAAGACAGCAGCATGAGTTAAAGGAAAGGTTTACAAGATAGTCATGAAAACTCCTGTGATGTATGGTTTGGAGATGGTTGCATTAAAAAAAAGACAGGACACCGAGCTGGAGGTGGCAGCGCTGAAGATGTTGGGATTTTCATTGATTTTCAATGGACAATATTAGAAGTGAGTATATCCGGGAGGCAGCTCAGGCTGAGCAGTTTGGACATGAGAGGCAAGGTTGAGATGGTTTGGACTTGTGCAGATTAGAGACAGTAGAAACACTGGACAAATAATATGGAATTGGCAGCTCCACATTGAATATGGAGCTGCAGGCAGGAGGAAAGGAGGAAGACCACAAAGGAGGTTTATAGATGTAGTGAAGGAGGAGGGCTGAGGCCTGATGAGACCCCTAAAGGGAGCAGGTGGAAGAAGAAGGATTACTTCTCCTTCACTTTGTGTTTGTATTTAATTCAATTCAATTTTATTTATATAGTGCCAATTCACAATACCAGTTGTCCCGCATCCCCAACTGGTCAGGGGAGTTGAGGGTGAGGGGAAGAAGACAGGAAAAAGACACGCTGTGGAAGAGAGCCAGAGAATAATAATAATAAATGCATGCATGGGTATAAAAGGTGAATGAAAAAGAAACACTGTGCACATCAGTGCATGATGAGAATCCTCCATCATCCTAGACCTATTGCAGCGTAACTACATGAGAAGTCAGGTTCAACTGATCCAGCTCTATAAGCTTTACCAAAAAGGAAAGTTTTAAGCCTAATCTTAAAAGTAGAGATGGTGTCTGTCTCCTGTCTCGGGTTCCACAGAAGAGGGGCCTGAACTCTAAAGGCTGCTCCTCCCATTCTAGTTTTAAATAAATACTCTAGGAACCACAAATAAACCTGCAGTCTGAGAACTAAGTGCTCTGTTGGGTTGACACAATAAGGTCATTAAGATAAGATGGCACGTGATTAATCAAGATGTATGTACGTGATGAGAAGGATTCTGGATTTAACAGGAAGCCAACAAAGATAAGCCAGTATAGGTGAAATATGCTCTCTCTTTGTAGTTCCTGACAGTAATCTTGCTTTTTGGACATCTTACTGTACATAATAACGAATTAGGCTACGTTCACACTGCAGGTCTCAATGGTCAATTCCGATTTTTTTGATCAAATCCGATTTTCTTGTCTGCTTGTTCACACTACAAACAAAATGTGACAGCAAACGCGCTCTAGTGTGAACGCTCAAAGCGGCCCGCATGCGCAAAAGAAGACGTCACTCACGCGCTCTGTTTAGAACCAGAGCAAACAATATTGTTTGACTGATGGCCCTTAATATAAAGACTTCGGACTTTACGTTTCCCAATTTTTGCTTTAAGTTATTTTGTTATTTACACAATAATATAAATAACATTATAATTGGCGTCTGTCTCGTGTCAGTGACGTAAAAAACGGATTTAAGGCGACGTGACCGTTCAAACAGCAGTCGCTTTCTAAAACATCGGATATGTATCGGATTCAGTACCACATACGAAAGTGACCCAGATCGGATTTGAAAATTCGTGCCATTCACACTGTCATACCACGATCGGATGTGGGTCACATAGGGTCAAAAAAAAAATCGGATTTGACGCGCTTTCGCCTGCAGTGTGAACATAGCCTAGAGTCGTCCAGCCTAGAAGTATTAAATGCATAAACTAGCACTCTTAATAACAAACTAGAACAAGCATAGTGGTTGCATGTGTGTCATTGGGGTTTTTGAAGGGCACAAGGCAACCAGAAAGTCTTGTTTTACGTTGTAAAACCAGCACGGAGGCCTTGTTGAAGCAATATGGCCGACAGCTAACCCACTACACCACAAGCGCAGCACAGATATTTATCTTCAGGCAGGTTATGTCAAGCTAAAGACATTTTTTAAATTCTTTTATGACATTTTAACAGAAACATCTTCAGGAGTGCGAAGAACCCTTAAGACAGTGCCTAAACAGTAGGTAGTACTGGAAATAGCTACAAATAACTAGCAACCACAAAAATGATGCTAAGCCATAGCTTGTAGACTGTATACTGTCAATTTAGCAAAATATGCTACGACATAGATTGTTTGTATGTAGGGTTATACAAACTTAACTTGTAAGGCAGTTAAGACTGTCCACGTTTTCAATTATTCAACTATTAAACAATATGGACATTGCTTGAACCTTCATGTAGTTGGCTCAGATAAATCAGCTACATCTCACTCACCAGCGACTCACCAACCAGCATCCTACACAACAGACAAATGCATTTTAAAACAAACACTAGCCTAACTTCACTTGGCTCACATGCCTGAAGACAAAGAAAATCTATGTGAGTCAAAAGAGGTTTCAGGGCGGGGTATTGCATTATTATTGCTCTTTACATTGTCCATTTTTATATGCAGGGGAACTAAACAGCACTCATCATCCTGCTGTCGATATTTTACAGTTTAAATCGATTGTAAACTAAGCACTGGCACATTATAAAACTCGTATGGCATATTACAGTTGTAACGACACAGTTATGCTGTTGCAGTTGTGGGTGTTGCCTAACTTTCGTAGTGGTGTGATACTTTTTTTTTTAAAGTAGGTGAACACTTACAAAACATGCCGACGTCATATTTGTCTTGTTTAGCGAAGAAGAGCTCAAAATAAAAGCAAACTTCCTGTGTTATTTTTATTGTGTTAAAATTCTTGCCACTGCTGTAAAGCCGGCAGTCACGCATAGAGCGCATGAAATAAAACAAATTATCTTCATAAATACATTGCGCTGACAGGCAGACAGACATACCTCCTTGTGGTTATGATAGCCGTTTTTCCCGATATGTTCGCGCTTCACTCCATTCTTTCTCAAGTATGGTTTTAAGTTTCCGTCAGCAGCAGTTGTTGCCATGTTCTTGAAAGCACGGGCTCAGCTCTGACTGACAGGTATAACCGGTGTGCTGTGCCCAACTTCCAAAGGTGACTTCCTCCTTCTCTCTTGCGCCGGTTAAGCCTCTTTTGAAACGCTTCAGCTTTTACTGACGGCTTCTCCAAAACAAAGTCACGCTTCCGATTCTTACTGTTTCGATTTTGTTTAAATAGGACGACTTCTCCCTTATTTTGAACACCCCCCCCCCCCCAACTTCCCCTTTTCATGTTCTTGACAGTTTTAAAAGAGCCCATCTGTTTTCTCTTTAATCTTCACTCTATTGTCATCAGATTTTTTTGCTTCCTTTTTTGTCTTGTGCTCCTTTGCACTTTTTCTGTCTCTATGTCTATTTTTTTTTTTTCACATAACACCCCCCCCCAAACTTCCGCTTATTACAAAATGCTGCATTACAAAATGAACGCTATACAACTGCTTTAATTCTTAAAATATTATTTTTATTAAAAAATAATTGGAAAGTAAAACACATTTACTCAGGCTGCGTTAGTGATTAGAGTTCTAGTAATTTGAGTACTTACATTTAATGGAGCCTAATAATAGAATACTAGCTAAGCATTGTGGTGGACTGGTAACGTGTACTGGTAATCTGGGACAAGCTCCAGCACCCACTGCCATTCTCAGTTAGATAAATTCTTATGGATAGGTGCAACTTAATATATACTCTAATATTTGCACTCTTCATTTACTACATTATTAGTTATTTGTTACCTAGCAGATGAATAGTCTACATATGGTAACCTGTTCAGTAGTTGTCTAACATTGGTTTACAACAATATAACCTACTTGAAATGAACTCCACCTACTTATGACACCTTAATGCAGCATCATCATCAATGAAATCCAGAAATATAACTGATAATACAGCATAGCTATCAGTGTTGACATTCATATCAAGTACTTGTCCTTTGCTTTTGATGCTTAACTCATATTTTGCTAATTTTAATCAGACTTTTAGATTAACAAGCTTTTAAAAACAGTCCTTTTACTGCAATATAGCATTTTGACACTGAGATAGTTGTGTAAGAGTAAATATTAATAGAGGTTTACGGTGGTAGTCATTCAGCTACACCAGACAATGAAATAACACATGATTAGAGTGTAGCAAAGCAATTTTTATATCTTGTGTCTAGTTTGCAGACGTCATTTCCTCTAGCTTTATCTTACATTTGAGTGTGTGGTGCACTAGCATTGCTTAACAACTTTTATCATTAGCAGCTTTATTGCCCACATTAATCTGATCACAGTGTAACATTGCACAATTCAGTACCAAACTGTATTATTTTGACATAAAACAGCTCAAAAAAGAATATATGATAGTCAACATGGGTTTTTTTCTCAGCGCATTCACGGGTTAGAAGACCCGTTCGGGTTCATCTCTAGCTGATAAACTGTCTCAATCTGACTCAAGGATCATCGAGGCGCCATTCTTCCTCATACCCGAGCTTGAACTTGTTGGACTGTCACTAAGCAAGTATTAAGTTTGCAGAGCACAGAGAGCCGAAAAGTGCGCGACAATTATCGGTCACCGCAGTTAGCCTTGGTAGTTGATGATCTACCAAGGCGTCATAAATCAGACACACTGTTTCTGACATAAACCAAATCAAAACAGCCTCGTAAACGTACTGCTGCATACGGGCTGCTGACGGTTTGGTGTCTGCCTGCATTTTTGAGATTTTCCCTTTTGGGCAAACACAAAGCGATTGTTTGTTGGTGAAAGGTCAGCACCTACACAGTGGTCTTGTGGCAGACGTAAGTTTTCTGTGCATTGTAAATCAGAATATCGGAGGTGCTGTGGCAGTAAATGTGATGAGAGATATAATGAGGGTTTTTTCCTTGGCATGTTCTTTAGGAGAGTTTGTCTCAGTGGGTGTTCACAAGCTGAACATGTGAACCAGAACAGTGATAGTGTTAAGAGGAACTTGTAGTTTGGAATGCAAGTGCGTGTCTGAACATTATGCTAGGAAGTGTTTTGGATAAGAGTGTCTGTTGTACACTAGCTTCTTTCTTTCTTTCTGGCTCTTCTGCTGGCAGTGTTTGAACTGCAATATGGGGCATTTTGCACCATCTGATACTTTTCATTTTCATGTCATTTAAACACCAATCACTTATAACTATAGATATGAGACTATAGCTTTTACATTCATTTGACAGACATCATTTCTTCCTTTCCCAACCCAGGGCAATCGGAAATTGTGCTGTCTGTTTGACGTGTGTCTAGATTTCTTAAAGTCTTCATTTAAATTGCAAAGCTGCTAGAATCAGATCTTCTTTGAATGCATTGTGTGATGTTTTGGCTGAAAACACTAAAGCCCTTTGGGATGACATGTGTCATCCACCATCATCTCAGAGCTGCCTTTTCATGACACTAACTGATGAGGTTTGGTGTTGTCTAATAACTCAAGACTGCTGTCAGGGAGGGAGGGGGGGAAACACAGGCTGACACTTGCATGAGGGTAAACTAGGAAAGCTGACAGAAGAGTGCTGGGAGACGGTGGGTATTGCAGTTTGAGTGAAGCGTAGAGAAAAGGACGTGATGAATCCAGACCAGTCAGCCTTGCATCCAATCGTTACGCAGAGAATGATTGAATGGAGGGTAGCATTCAGCAGGCTGAGTAAATTAAAGGTATCCGCAGCTCTCACCTCCTCTTAGCTTAGCTTGGAGTCTTAAATGGAGGATTGCTTTTTACCAGTGGGACCAGATGTAACCTACATCTGTCAGGCTTCATTAGCTACGTCAATCTGGAAAGTACTGTTCCTTTTGGGTTTACAAATATTATTATTTATTAATTTTTCAATCAGTTCGCACTTTTAGGCAAACACAATTTACAGTTTGAAGTTTCCAGCACTGAACTTTTAGATATATTTCAGCTTGCACTTGAGCGTGCTGTCGCTCTGAGTTTAACTAAAGGTGATCAGTCTTTAAGGAGGATCACAGAATTAGACTAATTTCCACAGGGAGAACTGAATGTTACACTTCACTGAGCATTTTTCGTGCTATGCGGTGTGACTGAGGATTGGACTTAAATTCGTCACTTGAAACCTGTCCTGTTAAATACCCTATTGATGTTTTAGGTCTTTTACAGCATGTCTTCTTGTATTCATCACCTTGACGTCTCTTCTCTCAATTCCACATTATTGCATTACTGGTGTTTTGTTAATTAAGATTTGGTGGTTAAACCATTTTTGAGGCTCAGCACATGAGTTTTCCTAACATGAATACAGATGATTGGTGAGGCACTATACAGGGAATAAGCTGCCTGGTGGGTTTTTGAACACACTGATTTCATATGAATGTAAAATAAGACGGGTTTTTCTTAAAAAAACAAAAAAACATGATGAATGCTAATCCATATTTATTCTGCTTGCATGTTTTTCAATAAACCTTCATTCACTGGGTTACTAGCTTAACTAATTACATTTTTTCTCATTTATTTCTGTGTGACTCTTGTGAAAGAGGAGCAAGGATGAACACACTAATAAAGATTTTTCATGTGGAGCAGATGTGTGTTGTCCTGCCACCTTGTGGCAGTGCAGTAACAGCACCATAACATGTACAGCCACACACAGAGCCTTCACTTTCCTTCACCCACACCCATGTTTTCCCTATAATGAAATGAATGAGCAAATGTGTTTACAATAGCAGATGAGCACGTCATCCCTATCATGCAATATTTGCTCACAGTAATACTTAAAGCCAAGCCCATCCAGACTTTGGACACTTGTTTATGGATGAACTGATGTCCTGCTGTGCCGTCGGAGGCTAGTTGTAATGCAGAGCTATATTTAAACTTCCCCTGGGGTGCCATTAAATCATGTAATTTCTTCGTCAGGCCTGGCTGACCCCATTACCCACATCAGAGAGAATTAAGAAAGAAAAATCATTATTTGTTGAATATTGAAATTGTATCTATGTGCTATGCTACATTTTAAATTTAAGCACTACTGTAGACATTCACATCGTGTGAGACTAACAAACAGAATAAGCTCCAATTCCTTAGATGTGGATGTTGGAACGGTAGGAGAGGTGTGATCAGTTTTGGCTGGTTTTTCCAGTTGGGGCGTTGCCATATCCTACCACTCTTAGTAACAATCCCAATATAAATCAAAAAAGTGCAAATGAGCTGCTTTTTCAAGTGTGCGTTGTTAGATGATGCCAACAGTTAAGTAGAAACTCACACATAGAACCTTCGAATAAACTAACCTGGAGTAGTTTATAGATATGGACCAGACATAAACAAATAATGCTCTCTGTTTTAAATATTACATAATTATCACATAAAGTATCCCTGTGACAGACTGGTGACCTGTCCAGGGTGTACCTCCTCTGGCCCAGTGACAGTTTGTATTGATGGATGGCTTCAGATATAATTAAGAATATTACATAGTTTGAATGATTCATTAGAGAAAACAATGCAATCACTCTTTTCTCAGGGTGACTCCTTATAAGTCTTAAGTGTTTTTGTGTTTTTCTTTGAGTTTGCTAGGAGGTACAGATCATCAGATCAAAAGAAATCAATCCTTTTAAACCACCAAGAGAAATGAGAAAATGACAAAACTTTGATGCATAAAAGGAAGATGTTGTTGCTTTTGCTTTGCAGGGGTAAGAATACAAACTGTGCTTTCACTCAGCAAAATGGGATGTACAAGTTTAATTGTGTTTCTGCTGTATTATTTTGGAGAAAGCGGGAACAGAATGAAAAAATTAAAGAATTTAATCCAGCTATAGTTTTTTTTGGCTTTTTGTTTTTTTGGTAGATAAGTGACTCAGTACTTGGCAGTGAGGGCTATTAATGCAATGGCCTGTACAAATGTCTTAAGTTCTATGTGATGGTTAAAAGCCTGATCTGTTAGCTCCTGCATCTGCAGTACTCCTAACCTTGAGTGGGTGTTCAGATCCACAGGGGATGGAAGATTCCCCTGTTCTCTTCAGAAGCAAGCGGGAGAAGTGGGGAAAAAGACTGTCTCAGAGACAGATATTTATAGAGAGTGGGAGAAAGTGAGATTGTGGCTTGAAAGGTTAGAGTAAAAGAGAGCGGCGGAATGACAGAGAGGGAGAATGACAGAGTTGTCGAGTGAAACAGGGAGATGGTGGAGAATATGAAGCAGGAAGATTTAGAAATAGATAATGCTGCAGACACCACCAGAGGC